GGATTGATTCAGTGACTGGGATAATTGGGATGGGAGTGTCAGAGACAGTGCGATTGGCACAGTACAGAGCGGAGTTTAGGGCTGTTGTACTTAGGGTCGCTATGAGTCACAGGCGACTCGATGGCACATAACAACAACAACAATAATATAAAGTATATTGTTATTTGTTGTTATGTACCTTGGAGTTGGGACCAACTCATACTGACCTTCCAGCAGGTTTTCAGAGGCAGTAAATCACACTGGAGGAGATTGTCCATCTTTTTCCCAAAGAGCAGAGTGGATTCAAGTCCACTCTGTGCCTTTGGGATGGCGGTACAATCCTTGCCATTAAGTCCCAGAACTCCGTAATATAAATAAACTAAGAAAGCGTAGACAAAAATGAGTCTAAGTGGGAAAGCAGTGATTATAGAGAGAGACAGAGGGCCTGCACCATAGCAGCAACAGTGAGGGCAAAGAGAACAGAATTGACTAGAAGGTTATTGAGCAGAGTGGCGTGTGACAACATTTGGTTTACTATGTAGGGACAGTCGCAAAATTTCACCACCCCACTCTTGATCTCTCCACGTGCCTTTTCTCAGTATTAAAAAGTAAGATAAATATTTGTTTAATTCATTATATGGCTTCCCATTTACTTTATGTAAGCCGTTACTTTGCATGATTTTCTTTTTTAACATTTTCACATCTGGAAATGCATAGTCCAGATGTGAAAATGATAAAAAAAAAAATTTAAGAGAATGCTCATAAATTTTATGAAATACTTCAACTTTATCGTGAAAACTTCAAAGTTAAAACATATGGTTCAGCCATCCAGATCTAGTATGCGAGCTGTTGGCCTGGAATTTCTTTATGATCAGGCTATGATGTAAAGTCTCCATAGTTACTCCACATTACAAGTTCTAACATCATCATGATACTGCATTAAGCAAATTATTCATTTGTCTTTCCCTTTACATTTCCCTTAGTAGGACTCGAGGGTCATAGCTTGTCAACTGTTACCTTTATTTTTGTCTGTGAGTAGTATTCATCATGACATGCACGTCTAATATAATTCAAAGAAAGGCAAAATGTTTAAATGCTGTCTGCAGGGACAGAAGAAGAATATAAGTAGATCTTCCGCAAATGCACGCATATGTATGTACATGTATACACAGTCCGGCTTTCTGTTATATAAGTAAAAGGCCTATGGATGCTAAAGACCAGGTTGGCCATAGTCTGTCTTCTTGTAATAAGTAAGTGTAAAGAGAGTACAAAGTATTTTGGCCCTATAATTAAGATTTTTTTTTAACTATTTACTGTTTATGAAGAACATAGAATACAGAAAATGCAGTGATTGGGAGAAAAAAATATCTTGTTTCAATATTATTATTAATATATATTAATTTTACTAAACAGTGTGTCTTACCAATTATTCCTGACTATGTACTAATGAATTTTGTTCAATTTTGAACTGAGATCTTTACTATGAGAGTATCCTTTTAAGCATTTATGAGGTACATCTAATCTCTCTTACTATCATCTTTTCATTTCCTGAAACAAGAGTACATTCCTAAAACTGTATTAAGTAGCTACGTAAGTGTCATGATATTAACTTGTGTGTCTTCAAGTCAGCGTTCTCCCAGAATCTGTCCAATTTAATTGAAATAGCTTTGCCTGTGTAAACTTGTCCTTTGTTTAAATAAGATTTCACTGTTTAGTTTTGTCTTAAGTAAATGCAGCCATTTGTTTGTTCATAATACATTTGATTAAATGTATAGACTGATATGAATAGCGTCTCATCATTCCACACATTTCACCATCAGTTGCCCCTTTGCTGGTGTGTGGGGTATTGTTTTCATTGACAACTAGGGTTCTTTCAGTAGCCTACTGTTTGGGGAAAATAAAATTTAGTAAGAAAACTTCTATCTTACCATTATTGGTTTTAAATTTGGAAGCAACTATATAAGCCTTCCTCTTTCGGTCCAACTGTTAATGCTCTTAATATAGTGAATTACATAAGTTTTTGCTCCCAAAGAACTCTGAGTTTTTCCTTTCTGTTTCTAGATGCTGTTACTATCTAGTTGTCTTCACTGCACTAACCAAAAGAAAAGTACCTCATATCAGACCCTTACTAGGAAATAATATTCAGTGAATACTCTGGGAGAATCTGTTTATTTCTCCCAACTGTGTCTGTAGTTTATTTTCTAGTTTCTATTTTGGGTAATAATAATTTATAAACATAATGCTTGATTTTATTGTTTGTTTTTAAAGGCTAGCATCACATTCATAATAAAGAGCAAATTCCATCATAATCTTGTATCTTGTTTTCCTGTGCAGGCGATGCTGGATGTAGCTGCAAACCAGGGCTGGCTGGTAACTGCCCTAAATATTACCAATCTAGTTCAGATGGTTATCCAAGGTCGGTGGTTTAAAGATTCTTCTCTTCTTACGCTACCAAACATAGAGCAGCATCACCTCCACCTTTTCAAGTAAGCATTTTGATGTTTAATGTAATGGATTTGTTATTTTAAGTCATTATTTTTTTTTACAAGTGTGATCACCTGACTCTTAAGTTGTTTCCTAGAAAGTTAATACTCTACAGTGAAAACTCTTGTTTCCTAGCAGACATGACCTAGTGACATCAGATTCTTATTTGGAATTTGATCACCTATTCCAAACTAAACTACATTTCATTTCAACCTCCTCCTCTCTAAATTCTTTTCTACTAGTAACCCTGTGTTAAGTTTCTATTTCAATTGTTCTATCCTTTGTAATATCAACCTTCATTAACTGAGCTGTGGTTTAAAACAAAATAAAGTACCTATTTCTGTTACTGCAAAATACGTTTAGGAGATCTAAAAATTTATTGTCAAAGTAAGTGGTACATATGCACAATGACCAGAATTAAGTATTAAATTTGGTAGCAATTCACAGTATAACCTGTTCTTAAAAGAGAAGTTTATGTTAGCATCGAATGAAATCCCTTAGGTTTCAGAGCCTGAAAAATCCCTCATTATGATCAAGTCGCAGTTGACTCATAGCCGACCCTCCAGTGGGTTTTCAGAGGTGATAAATTGTGCAAGAGGAAATTGCCTATCTTCTCTTGTAGAGTTTCTAGTGGACTCAAACTGTTCACCTTTAGATTAGTAGTGCACCTCCCTATGATCTACACCTCCAGAGCTCCCTGGGTCTCATAGAGAGAACTTTATGTAAGCTGGCAAGGGGGAAAAAACCCAGTACATAATACAAGCAAGGTTGGCAGGGTGTAAATGAAAATATTTCTTTCGCATCAATGTCTCACATCAGTTGACAGGTGTCTTGCAGCCAAAATACTAGTTCACTGTCATGTACACAAGCAAAACAGTCTGGCTGCAACTTGCCATTATGCACCCTCGACCTCTTGTCAGCTGGGTGAGGAGTGGCAGTCATTTCAGGCATCTAGGTATAAGTGCCAACAAGAACCTCAGGAACATATGAGGTCTCCTCAGGAAAGCCCCATGATTTGAAGTAGACTACCGTCTAGGGCAGTTGTCATCATGGTGCTTAAGTCTCCACCATAGGATACCTCTGAAAACTGAAAGGCACGTTCATATAGTGAGTCACACCGGCATCAAATGACATGAGGGACAAGAGATACTTGTGTTTTCTGCAGCTTAGTTTCATACCCTTCCAGTATGAACTAGAAGTTACAGGAGTAAAAATTTCAGCTGTGATGGCACACAAGGCTACTACCCCACACAGATGTTCGGGAAGGTACTTGAGGTCTATGAGACTTCATCCAGTTCTTTACTATCACCCTTAATAGTACTATGTGAGTGTAATTTCAGGTCTGTTTTTCTTCTCTTGCTGTGTAAGTCACAAATAGAGAAAGATTTAGGTGGCCCTCAAAAAGATGGATTCACACAGTGACTGTAACAGTAGGCTCAAGTATATCAAAGATGATGAGGATGGCACAGTATAGTGCAAGGTTCACATGCATTGATCAGAGGATCATAATAGCATAATAGTCACAGTCGATTCCATAACACCTAACAACAACATCCTACTGGCCTGGTGGTAAGGATTTTCACTGTCAGCCTTTGCACAGAGTTCAAAATCACCAGTTTCTCCATAGGAGAAGGATAGGCATTCTCCTCCCACACAATCAACAGCATCTGAAAGCTTGCCTGAAAGTCAGCTATGATTCTGTTCCAACTGGACAGCATATAACAAGATTTCTTGCTTGAAAATTCCTAAAATATACTTTTAATTTTATGTTTCTAGCAATTTATATTTAAAATTTTACTCAAGTAATTAGTGATCAAGTTGTCTGCACTCATTAGTATGTCAGGGCTTCAGATCAGTGCTTTATACGCATGGAAACCTTAGCGCACATTAGTGACTTCCTATTGATGAACATTCACTGTCTAGGAATCCTAAATAGTTTTACTGTGCTCACACACAAGTTACTTACTTATTTTATGTAGTGATAGAATACTGCATTGGGTATTTACATATTGAGTATCCCAGAAAATTCTGGCTGCGTTTTTAAAGGCAATTACTAATTTGTAACAATCTTAATTTTAAAAGACTAGATGTGTATATAAAAGCTCTAGTAGGCCTTAAGGAGTTGCACTGCTAACCCAAACATGAGGCAACACTCTAGCAGTTCAAATCTACCAACCACTCTGAGGGAGAAAGATGGGAAATCTCTACCTATTCATTTACATCCTTCCAAAAACCTTTAAAAAGGGTCAGCAGTGAATCAGTCCTAACTCAACAGCAAAGAGTTGTTTGAGTTCTATATCTATATTTAATTATATATGTTGTCCCTGTCAGAAAATCTCATTTGCAGTATGAAAGAAGTCTTGAAATTGATGCTGATATTATTTCCTAGGAAATGGAAGAGCCCACATACTGGTTACCAGGGCCCCATTGAGTGCCTTCCAGAACTGATCCATGCCTGTGGTGGCAAAGAGCATATATTCAGCTCCCTTGTTCAAAGTGAGCTACAGCCAGCTAAAGTAAAGCAGGTAAGGCCATCCCTTCCATGTTTTCAAGACTCCTTACTTTGTTTGGATATTATACCAAGAGTTTTCTGATTTAAAGCATCGATTTTGAAATCAAACATTGTTTGAATTCCATCTTCTCCATTTAATAACCATGATTATGAACCTGAAAACATAATAACTGACTCATAGATTTCTGTCAAAACTAAGCAAGATATTATTATGTAAAGTACTTTATATAGTCCATAGTGTAGAGTAAGAAATCAGTAAGTGGTAATAAAAATAATGACAAGAATCATTAGTGGTAGTATTAGCATTATGAAAAGTTGTCTCAGTATCATTTTTTTAAGCCAATTAAAATAAAGGCCTCATATAACTTACCTAGGGGAGCTCTGGTGGCCTAGTGGCAATTCAATGTGCCTACAATCCCGAAGGCCTTCAGTTCGAGCACACCAGCCGCTCCACGGGAGAAGGATGGGCAGTCTCCTCCCGTGCAATTAACTGCCTCTGAAAACTCTCCCGAGGGTCAGCTGTGGGTCAGCTCCAACTCTACAGTACACAATAACAATATAGCTTACCTAGTACAAGGTTACAAGTCCCAAGTCCCTTTTATTTCCTCACTTCAGAGTAGATTTCCTTTTTTTTAATGCATGTTGTCTTGCAATTGTCTGTTACCGCTTTCTGTTTTCCTCTCGTTTTCATCACCTCCTTATTCCTAGATCCTGTTCTTAGAACTGAAGTCTTCCTTACTTACCATATGACTTATAATAGATAGGAAGCTACATTTATATTATGAAAGACAACATAAGACCTCTTTCCAAATCATCTTTGAGAAAGCCAAAAAATGTTAATGAACAATGCCAGAAATATTTGACATTTCTAAAATTTAAGCTTTAAGCAATATTATCCTAAACTTATCAGAATAAAAACTCAAGATTTATAGCAAATTTATTTGCAAATGCAAATATTAAATTTAAATTATTATTTTTTTTATAGTGGAACTTGGTTTTGAACAAGACTTCAACAAAGTGTAACAGGCTGAAGTCTGATTGTTCAATTTCTGTTGAACCCAAAATTGGCATCAAAAACTATTTAAATATTCATAATAAATGCCTACCTTTTTAACTAAATTACCATCAAAATTGTGAATAACAACACTATCTTTAAATCAAAACAAGGCTTCTATTAGCAACAACAGATTTCTATCATAACATTCATTGATTGCAAGCCAAGTTTTAGATATGATGAAAAATTAGAACATTGTTATAATTAGTTCAGCGAGAACTCAGAAGTAAACTTACTTAATTTATTTGCATGAATTGCCATTCTGTTATCTTTAAAACCAAATGCAAATTGGCTCTGTCTGATATGATGATGGTTATTTGGCTCAAAAGTGCTTCAATTTGCAGAGCAATCTGGTTTCGGCTCTGCAGTGAGGCGATCCCAGGTAACATACAAATCCTGAATTATTCCAGAAATTAGTATGTTTAAAGCATCAATTTAAGTGCTAATTGCAGTAGTAATGAGAAAAAGCAGTACGACTGTGAGATTTGCATCTTCTACCCCATCAGTATGCCTGTAACGGCTGCTGACTGGCAGAGGATTTGGCTGCTAATTAAATAATTGTATGCATGGCAATGCTCTCGCCTGATTCAATAGATGAAGATTAATCCTCAGATAAATATGTTTGGCTGGTATTGAAATGTCTTAGCATTTTCTTTAAAAATAGCCCATGTTTTATATATATCTTGCTCTCTCTATATATACCTAACAAATGTATGTGTACACATTGTGGGTGTGAAATAATAATATTTAATATTATAAAAAGGTTACTTGTATATAAAATTATACTTGGAGAGCTTAGTAGAGTAAAATCCCACAGAGATTCTAATAACAGAAAACATTGTGTTGGTTATTAATTTAGTGGTACAGGTAAAGAAATACCATAAACTCTTGAATCATGTGGAAAAAATGTTACTGTATTGTCTTAGAAAATTAACTACTCTACAGAGATTGTGTCTTGGAGTGTCTCTTTAATCATCTTTGCTCTCTGGACAGTTTCAGAAGAACATCTAGTGGTTTAACTTCTACATTGATGACTGTGGTTTCTCAGCAGGGAATATGCCATAACTGTTACCTTGAAGCACAGAGTGGAGTACTCTGCCTTGACCACTTCAAGGTGTAGTTCTAGACAAAATTTCAGAGTCTCAAGACAACTTATAAGACTGGAGTTGGATTGAAAATATAGATTTTAATTTTCTTACTTTTTTTTTTACTCTTTAGGGGTATTTGGTTCAATAGGTCTACTCCACATAGGTGGACTCAGCAACACTAAAATCAAATGAAGAGTCAAAATTTGTATGAAAATCTTTAATATATATTTTTTAAAAAGATAAGTATTTTAATATAATTATTGATTAGAAAGTAACTGACAAAACAGCCAATTTTTTTAGAAGGTTTGTTGGGTTTGGGGCTTTTGTTAGTGATGATGTTGACGTTATCACTTAATTGTAAACCATTCTTTACTGTAGGACATTGAGTTTATTTTATTTCTCATGTTACATTTCATGAACGTAAAGACTTTCTTCATTCAGTCATGTATTCAGCAATAATGGGCACTTAACTATTTGCAAACAGATTTCTCATATGTGTCTTTCCATTTAAAGAGCAAGAGTAGAGCTGATACGTTTTCCATCCCTTTAATATGTGTCATTGTGTATTGTAATTGCTTTTCTCACCAAGTTGATGCCAAAAGTACAGCTTTATTTTTTTTAATAGATGAAATCTTAAACCTGCCTGTATGACTTCTTGTGATACATAATATCCAACACCACTGCTTTCAAGTCAGTTCCAACTCACAGCAGCCATCCATTGGTTTTCTGAGACTGTAAATCCTCCGGAAGGAGACTGCCCATCTTTGTCCTGTAGAGCCACTGGTGAATTTAAACTACCAGACAAACAGCCTTTTGGTTAGCAGCACAGCATGCTGTACACTGTGCCACCAGAGCTTTTTCAGATGGATAGAGTAAATTTGGAGTATGAACCCCAGAAAAAGCATTTCGTATTATCACTGGCCAAATGATAATACGGATTGATGTCAACAACTATATCCCCTATCCACCGCCCCCTCCAGTTGCTTTTATATAGTCACCTAGTCCTTTCTGAAAGAGCCCTTGTGGCCTAGTGAGTAAGAAATTGTGCTAGCAATTCAAAGGCAGATAGTTCAAATCCACCACTGCTCCATGAGAAAATGATGAGTCAGCTTTATCTTGAAGGCAGTGAGTTGAGTTTGTTGAATCCTTTCTGGCTAAGAATTTTTGAAATGGAATTATAAATACTGCCCTACAATAAATGAGTTCAATAATTAATACTTTTAAACGTACAACAGAACACACGCAGATTAACAAAAAGGGCAACCTAGGTAGAACCATCAAGTATGCAACAGCTGTAAGCAGACCCTAGTGATTAGTACATGGAATGTGAGAACCATGAATGAAGGAAAATTAGAAATTGTTAAGAAAGAAATGGAACGCATAAATATTGACATATTAGG